TACCTACTTTTGTATATCAAACCTACCTACTTATGTAAATGGTGACCCATTACATCACCCCCCCCCTCTCAAAGTTGCGCTTACGCAACATAAGCATGGAGTATGTACAGTGTCAACGATCAATCTTGGAAATGGCCAACGGAGGGAGCGCACCCAGCTGCCTCTGCGCTTCGCAGAAGCTTCACAACCCAACTCGCGTCGAGAAGAACAGGGGGCAGCGGCGGAAGGCAATAACAATGGACACGGGAACCGCGGCAACGACAACAACGACGGCGACGACAGCAATAACGACTGCCACAACGGGGACGGCGACGACCACAGCGACAGCGACGACGGCAACTTCGGTCAGGGACCCATCACGCAGACTCGGCGTAATGGACAGCGAGCTACGAACGTGGGACTTGTACGAACTGTCGGGGGCCGTGAACCCGGACACACTGGAAGCGATGAAGGCCTTGTTTCGTCGATTCCGTGGACTGCGACAGAAGGGCATCGAGGGTGTCGAGTACGGCGCACTTCAGGAGTCGTGGTGTGCGTTCGTCCGGCGCTGGAACCGGATGAAGGAAGCTGGAGCAGACTTTGTCGCTTGGCTCAATCACCGTGAGGCTGCCATCGAAGAGCATTCACTCAGTGAACTACGCCACAGGATCTGCGGCTTCACATACCACGACGTGCACCGCATGTGCTACGTTCACGTTGCTGAAGGCTGCGACTCTTGTCTACGTCCCCGGCCTACTGAAGAAGAATGGCGCGCGCACATCGTCGAGCGGCCGCTCGGTGAAGACGAGAAAAGCTGGATCCAACGGTACCGACGCTCTCTCTCCGAATTCGCTCGATCAGTTAACATCGCCGGCTCACGTTGGCGACGTCCTCAGCGGAGTCGCTCTCCGCCGATGCATCGTGGGATCGCTGTTGGCAACACACATTCTCGATCACGTTCACGTTCCCGTGGACGCCTACATCGACGATCTCATTCTCCAGCTCGTGGTCGGCGATCTCAATCCCGTTCACACTCGTTTCGGCCCGACTATTGGACTCGGCAAGCGTCGTCTCGTAGTCTCGAACAACGTCCGGAACATCCCGGAGGAGATTGGATCGCGGCTCCCACGTATCGTCCTTCGGAAATAAGCCAAGCCAGTGAACCCTAAAGCGTCGAGCAATCGGGATCGTCCGGTTGGCACTACCGCGAGCCGATGCTCGAGGAGGATCCTCGTGTGCCACGATATAGCCAACTATCCAGCGGATATCACCAGCAGCGTCAACAATGGGAGGTGGACCGTCGCGCTGATAACGTTCGCGTCCTGGTTGGCCAGGACGATGACACACTGATGAACCAGTTCTGGGACTCTCAGCGGGATATTGACGTCGCCTTGCAACAGTCGTCGGAGGCGTCGCACACCGCGACTGCTCTGCGGCAGTCGAATCGGGAATTACTGGAGCGGGTGAGGACACTGGAACGCGCGATTCACGGTCGCGTGCAGACTGGAGCGCAGGATCGGGAGTATGTACCTGGATCGGATGGTTCGATGCGACGGTGCGCACTCCGCGAGGGATGGCCGACCTACGCACCTCCGGCTCAGCCGTCTGAGCCGTCGCAGGGATCGTACCTGGGAAGTACTTCTTCAGTCGCCC